CATCAAAGCGATATCTGCAATCTGAAGTTATTGTTTTCTTAAAAAGTGTCATTGTTGGTCTATCCACTTAACTCCATTTGATGGAAAGCTGCAGTGGGGATGCCAAGAGAGAAAGTGGGGATGATATCAAGTTACATCTTGATAAGAATGCTGTTTGTTATTGGATTAGGGAAGGATTGTATGCCTTTCTATAAACTACAAAAAAGAAAACAAGTAAATTCAAAGTAAATTTACTGCTGCCAGAACACTTTGGGGAGGCTTAGTGGTTGATTTAATGTACCAGAAATTATTTGAATGTTCTGAAAAAAAATCAGATTTTATTAAAAAAATTAATAAGTAAATGCTCGACTACTTTAAAGGGCCATGTGAAGTATTCATTGAGCATTAAAAAAAAACACTACCGCTACTGTGAGAAACTGCATTCCGAATTGTGTTGTTGATTTTGTCGCCCCCTGTGGACAAAGTGGTGCCTCTTATTTCTCTGCTAATAATGTCCTTTATACGTATACATCAGTCAAATGTACATCAATTGTTATTTCAGTGTGTTTCACAAGATATGAAACTCTAAACAAGAGCTTTAAAGGAGCAGTATGTAACTCTGACACCTAGAGTTTAAAATGGGTACTGCAGTCCAAATTGTAAACATCATAGAGAGCTGTCGTCCCCCCCCCCCCTCTCCTCTCTAGAGTGGATGCTCACTCAGGTGACCATGTGGTGGACTCTGAAGCTTCAGTGTTTATCCAGCTCTGCATGGGTCTGTAAACCTTTCTGTGTTCTAACCTCTCTCCATTTTTCAAAAGCATCTCCAATATTGATCCTAGTTTGAGCACGTTTCTGCTCGTGGAGCTTATTAGAAACATGCAGAGGCTTTTTAGGTCGGGTACACTCACTTCTTTTTTTGGGGGGGGGGGGGGGGGGCTTTTTGTGCCTTTAATTGAGAGATAGGACAGTGGATAGAGTCGGAAACCAGGGAGACTGGACTTCAACCCGGGCCACCCGCTTGAGACCGCAGCCTCCATACATGGGGCGCACGCCCTAACCACTGCGCCACCAGCGCCCCAACAATCAATTCTATCTGAACCACTTCTCTTGCCCGCTTCCATCGCTGCAACACCTGTTGGTTTGACTTGATAACTGCTCTCATATCTGGCAAACTGAGGGGTGTCCAAAACGGCCGTGTGGGGGTGCCTTAAAACCACCTACCTCTTCTGGTCCAAACAAATCCAGAGCATTCAGGACCAGAATCTAAAGTTAGAAGGAGGACATACTGGCTGCTGCATTGTTGTCAGAGAAGCCAGCACTTCAACATAGCATGTTTCCTTAATGTCTGATCATATAGTAAGATACCTTTATCATCTCACTCAGTAGATATCTTACAGATTGGTATTTAATTTATTAAAGCAATTGTTCAAACAAGGCACAGCTTGATTGTTTGGAACTTTGGATTCCTCCAAATGTTAACTTGGTGGCATTGGTTCATCGAAAGAGCAATGTTTGTCATTTAAGGACTTAGGAGGGTCCTTTATCTTTTTTTTTTTATCGCATTCGGATAAAATAAAACAAAAAACGATTTGAGCATCTCTGTCTTTTTCCCATCTGAGGTGGAGGAATGTAACCAGCCAATTGTCTGGTTATATAACACACTGGTAAATCCTCGTCTCAAAAGCCTTTTCTTCGATAACATTCAGAATCAAAACACAGACTGTTTGAACAATAAAGCATTCCTTTTTATAGCTTTGTTGCTTAGCCAAGTACATAAGCTAAGCAATCTAATGAGCTCAATTTGGAATAATACATGAGTCTGATCCTTTATTGTTTCCTTCCACACTTTAATGCAAGAACTATAACTCTATTCTGCAATACAAATATATGTCTTATTTATTTTTGTCTGCGAGTGATGGTGTTTCCAATAAAAGCATCAGCCTATAATGCTCAGTAAATAAGCTAGCTACAGTACCTAGCTTCTCAAATCTGCCAGCAATGATTGATATTTTCATCCTGCGTTTGATTTTGTCATCCATTAAAAATTTTGGAATACATTGTGTCAAAAGTTTAGAAGAATTCTGAGCAGTATATCTGCATTGTAAACCATATTGTGCTAACCTTAGACTGTATAAAGACTGGACAGAGCAACATCCTACCTGGAGTGAAGCTAAAATATTAAGAGACGCCCCTACAGACTGGCTGCAGCATATATAAAGAGCGACTCTTGTAAACAGATGGGAAATAGGTTACACTATATATTCAAAATACAAGTCAAATATGTGTTTTTTCTCAGACCAGGTACAGTTATTGTAGTTCGCGATTGTCCTACTATAGAAACCCGAGGGATCTAGAGGTAAGTTAAATGTTTGTCTTTGTTAGCAAAGAGGTGTGGCGTCAATTATATCGAAGTTCTTCCAGGCAATCCCAACTGCGCAGACTATGGCTCCAAATGCACAATATGTCAGCACCCTTCATAGGGTTGTTGTGGCCTCTTATTTGTACAATGGGGGGAGGTTGCGGTGTGCTGTCCATATGTCTACTCTATGGTATGAACGATGGTGTGAACGTAAAGGTTGACAGGCTTAGCAGCATTTGGGTGAACTGCCAGATTTCTTCGACTTGTTTCTGACTTTGAATAATCAGAAAATGTTTCCCTCACTTCAGTAACCACTCCTTTAGACAAATTAGTTATCCTTGGAACCATTGCGAGAAATTAAGCGTTGCTGTGGAACTTTTTGACAGTTTACAGGGTGGGCACAGGGCACGAACGTAACCTGTCTGTGTTTGTGTTTCTATTACAAGCTAACAACCTTTGAATGAATCACACTGCTGGGCATGAATCACATCCTTAAATCAAATTTATGGCAAAACAAAGACTAATCAAGCCCAAAATGTGTTTCAAATATAAATATGATATAAATTGCACTGGGGAAATGTTTACTCATCCGTTTAATGGACCGACAGACTTCCAGCAGTACGCTCCTCCTAATGAGCACATTAAACCCCTGCCGGTTCTTGTGACAGCTAGACATATTGGATCAGTGTATGAATACTGAATGATCTATAAATATAGATTGAGCTTTAAAAAGTTGAGAAAAGTCAGGGGATGGGATATATAGTGTAATCTGTGTGAAAATCAAAACATTTTCAACACAGCATGTAAATAGTAACACCAGCATTAAATTATGTTGTTGTATTAGCTTCTGTTGTGTGAAACATTCCTTGTGGAAGTGTTGATTAATGCTACATATTAAATTTTAACACCTCTGCTATCATCTTTGTTGCACCATTTGGGACTCAAATGTCATTAGCATTTCATTCTCTTTTTGCTTTTCTCTAGAAATACTGTTCTTTTGTGTGACAAACAATGTTCTTTCCTCTCAAATATAGCTTCAGCATGTCAACATGGTGTGAAAACTTGTTTGTTTTTTCAGCAGGACAACTGTTTTTTTCATTTCAAAGTTAAAAGGAGGATTAAGCTAGTTTAGGTTTAAGATTGGAGGTTGCTAGCATGTTAACTAACACCATAAATTGATTTAAACAAGATGCTGAGATGCATACTTTGTCCTTGTGATAAAGACTACTTTCCTTCTTCAATCTGTGTTTGAGCTTTAGAGGCTACAGGCTAAACACTGTGTAGAAAATGAATTCTATTGCGTGAAGTTTCAAGTATTTTTTAGCAATCAGGGTGGGAAATTCACTTTCTGGCTTACTGGCAAAAGTGGCGAGTAGATGAAAAAATCCACCAGCCAAGCATATTTTTCTTCCTTGCTAAACATAATCTTTTGGAAGGTTGCCTGATTCCTTGTAAATTTCGCCTCACACGGGGCACCAGTAGGCCAGTGGTTAGTGAACCCAGTGAATGGAGGCATAGTCCTCTAAGAAGGTAGCCTGGGTTCAAATCTGACCTGTGGCTCTATTCCTGCATGTCATTCCCCACTCCCTCGCTCCACAATTTTCACCAATTAAAAAGAATAGTAATCTGTAAATCTGTAATACTAGCTTAACACTAAGGCTAGCTAGCAGCACACCAGTTGCAGCTGGTTAGCTGATGTCCTATTTAGTTAACAGTGGTGAGTGATGGCTTGTGTTCTTGTGTTTTAATTTGTGTCCATCAGTTTGTGTTTGAGTGTGCTTGTGCCAGCCCACCCACCTCTATGATACCCCGACATACAGACATGGCTCTTGGCAGGTGTTAATTAAGACCCAGGTTGCCATGGTTATTAAGATATTTTAAGCATGGAAATGTTCTAGCCTGTGCACTTATGTAGCTTATATATACTCATAAGTAGGGTAGGGTTAGTTATGTATCTTTTTTTTTACCTGAAGTATTGAATCTACACTATAAGCTTGGCTTCGGGATGGTTGTGGGGCTCAGGTGGAATCTGAAGTCCTCTGCATTGAGCAAATGTTTCATATTAATGGAGTTATGATGACAACACACATATATAACCAAGACCATAAGGCATGGTCCATGTGGACTTATTTTCTCAGGGAAGACTAATTTTCATGCTTGCAGGTTTTTGGGGAATTCTCACTACTCAGATTAGCTTGTTCACTTCATTGCTTTCAGACTGTCACAAGTTTCCTACCATCTTTAGGCTGACATTTCTTTTATACCTCCCTTATACATGCCTTGTGTTTTTAAGTGCAATGACCTGAATGGGGCTCATATACAGGTCCAAGTTCTTTTTCACTGGCCATAATGAGACTGCTTACCTCTTATGCAATTTATAAAATGCAAAAATAAGATGAAAAAAATAATACAAATATCTTTAGATTTTCCTTATTGATGCTTAAAAAGGTTGTAAAAAGTCCATCAGAAAATGTACTGTTGGGACATAACATTGAGTTAATATGTAAGCATGGGTGACAACCTTAATATTTATTAATTTATTATTATTTAGCTCAGCTGGGGATCAAACCCTCGACCTTCTGATTTCCTTTGAACTAATCAAACCTTTATAATACACACAATCACGTTTTTTAAAACAATCTCTTTTTTGTTTTTTTAGGAGTACAAAATTCTAATCAGGAGAAGATCATAACAGTGTCTGGAGAGGGAATGGTCCAAAGCCCAGACTTCCCAAACACTTATCCCAGGAACACTGAGCTGGTCTGGAGACTTGTGGCAAACAGTAACATGAGGATCCAGCTCACCTTCGATGAGAGGTTTGGTCTGGAGGACCCTGAAGACGGCATATGCAAGTAAGCTGCACAATTACCAACCCTATCAAAGTAGATATCTGTTCATCATAAGTCTGGTTCTGCTCAAGGTTTCTGCCTCTTAAATAGTAAAGTAACTTTCCTAAATGTTCCTTAGTGCTGTGGATAAGGTTGGGTCTTTCTAAATAATATAAATAATAACAATATAATGCTATACTATATAAAATATCAAAGAGTATAGTCTATACCTGCTGTTTTTGTAATGTGTCTTGAGATAATATTTGTTATGAATTGGTCAAAGTGAGTATAATATATCTCCTTTAACTGTTATATAAAACTTTTTGAACTCCCCTTGCTCATGAGTTTGTTTTATATATTTGAACATCATTTTAACAGTGTCAAAAAAAAAGAAATCCCTGTAAAATGGTCTGCACATCCCTGTTACTCTCCTGCTTCTTGTTTGTGCCCTCTAACTCATACACTGGCTTTCTGGGCCACTGTAATGTGTGCAAAAGGGATTATTTTTCTGTCAGGATGTTCTACTCTGACTTGACAAAGTGACGCCATCTGAAAAACTCTTAAAATAGTTCATAAATTAAATGTTGAGCGATAAGAAAAAGTAGTTCTTAATGGCCCAATGAAATATCTATTACACTTGATGAGGAATGATAACCTCCTTCAGCAGATAGCTGTAACTGACTTTCTATTAAGCGTTTCCTGCTCTCTTGGCCAGATCCCATCAAACAGGGGCTTCCCCTTGTTGGCAGGCCTGATGTGTGTTGGTCTGTGGTGAAGACATGGTCCTGTCTTGGGCTGTTATTCCATCTTTAAAGATTCAGAGTCACAGTGTTGCCATTTGTGAAATTGCCTTTGGTCTGGCATGGCAGCTTGTGAATATTGAAAACCCAACATCAGAGTGATTTGTTTCACCCAGGACACCATGATGACGTGGTTTAGACCGACGTGTTTTACTTGATGTGGTCGATATTTTTAGACGCTTACGTGATTGTTCAAAAGACACATGCCTCCCCCCTCTGACTGAAACACATGAATTGAAACACACACACACACACACACACACACATATATATACAGTACATCTTCTCCTTTTATTGAGGAGCACACTTTCAATTACTGCTGGGGTTTGCTTCTGTTGCCTTTCAATTTAAAGAGGGATCCCGAGCTTCAACGATCGATTCATCCTCTGTGCATTATGCTCAGTGCCCTGCTGTCAATACATCACAACTGTCTGGTTAGCATGGAGGAGCCCAATAAATGGAAGGAGAGGAAGAGCTGGGGGAGGGTGACCTCCCTGGTCATTCCTGGAGAGCCCCCTAATGGATGACAAGGTGAATGACGGGTTTAAAACAGAACCGGCCTTATTCGATTCCTTTGCAGCAGTGCCAGGTTTGAACAAAAGATAAGAACCAGGGAGCCGGCATTCTGAGTTTCTCTGTCTGACCGGCAAAGCCAGGAGTTTAAATAATTATCAATGTGCCTCTTTAGACTCAGAAGAGAACAGCAATGTTACATGTTAAATCTGATTTTAAAGAATTTGACCCTCCTTAAATCCCCCTGCTGACACAGCATGGGTAAAAACTAACAACTTGAATTATCTAAATTGAGCAATGATTCAATTATTGTCAATTTATATCATAAATGCACAGACATATGAAGTGACGTTAGCTCTGGACTGCTTTAACAAATTATGTATGATGTGATACTGGAAGATAATGTGTTATTAAGATACATTTGAAACACTTAATTCATATTTTATAGTTCTTGATAAATGATTAAAGGCCTGATTGAGGTCTTTAAGGGATTCAGCCTACAGCATGCCAATATATAAATCTACTTTAAGTGAGAGACATGAAAGTAATAGATGTACCTTCTTACAAATTAATGGTTTCAGGAAAGAAGAGGATATGTCAGTGACTCAACCTGCTTCCCTTCCAGTGAAAGTATGATCAATCTCAGTTTTAAAAAAGATATTTGTGATTCTGACTCAGAGACTCGTCGCAGAGTCTTGTTAAAGATGTGTTTGTCTTGATTCAGCTGTCGAATCTCTTGCCATCCAAGGACTATTCTTGCACAATTTACTTCCTGCAGCCTGTCTTTGTCGGCTGTTGCCTCTGAGAAAAACAGAAAAACGGTCTGTTATTGCAAGTAATTCAAGTCCCCCCCCCCCCCCCCACTCTGAACACCTCTGTGGTGGGCCGGGTCGGGTGCACATTGACGAATGAGGTTAGTGTTGCTGTTGAAACCCTGTGAGGCGAAAGTTCCAGTGCGGGGCAGGGTGCAGATTGACATCCTTTGTGCCGTCCCGCCTTTAACAAGACTGCACTAGTCAGCGTCCTCGGGGAGAGGGGCGAGAGACAATAACAACATCCTTTTTTTTCTGGGGTCATGCAAGTCATCGCCACGTCTCTCACATTTTTTCGTTTCCCCCCAGCCCCAGAAGAAAAAAAAAACACCCCCACTGAGGCCTTACAGGTTTTGATTCAATCCCAAGATACACACTCTTGGCAGTGCATGGTAGACTGCTGAATGCAGCATGCAATCACAAGCAGAAGAAGACACACATTGACGTCTCTCTGCTTGTCATTACTCTCACCCTCTCCTTTATTCTCTCTCAAACACACACACTCTCTCTCTTTCTCTCTCTCTCTCTCTCTTTGTCCCACATACACACTCACATTGCCAGGCCTCTAGCCAGGTCTTGGTATCTACTTTATCTGTCATCGCTGCTTACAAATGCATTCACAATCTTTGACCTCCCTTCTGCTGGTATACCTTTCATACACAGCATTACTGATAGCTGCTCTTACCCTCTTGTCACTGCACAATGTGACGCAAATAAACACGGCTGTAATCTCCTGTCCACCGATTCACCACAGTGGCGGGGGGGGGGGAGCAAACAACAGAGGGGGGGAGAAGTGTTCGGCTCTGGTATAGGAAGCCTGCAGCGAGAAGTCTTTGCTGAGATGAGAGCGAGCGAGCAAGCGAGGCTGAGCAGTCGAGATGCTCATCAGATATTCTGTTTGTCTGTGGCGTGATGAAAAGCATTCTCGCCAAATCCACTGGAGGAGAAGCACGTTGTTGGAGAGGGATCGGTGTTGCAGCTGGTTGGCATGGCAGCGGAGTCGTGCTTGACGGCTCACAGACAGGGCTGCTCTCAGAAAAGCTTTATATTCCCCTTTTTCTTTTTCTTTTTAGACAAGATAACTACAAAAAACAGTGCTAGTGTTGCTAATCTGCATCGTGCCAGTGCTTCATACAAAGTGTCTGGTAATGTGAAAAGAAAAACACACATCCAGAGAAGGCTTTGTGATCATAAAACACTGTTGTGTGCAGAGGAGGTAATCCTCTATATGAGCCTCCTCTGGTGCTCTGATCCTGTTCAGTGTGACTGGACGTACAGTTCGGTATGTATGTCAGTGCGTTTGTAAATCGTAGAAACCGCTGTTCGACATGCTGCTTCCGAACACATGGTGATGTGTAATGATCAGGGCGCTCTGAATTATTGATGAGCCATCTGTCAAAGCTTTGGAGCCGTCTGAGGGCTGATTTTTCAGAGAAGGAAAGCTTCTCTTTTCTTTGCTGACCTCCGTCGAGAAGAGGCTTAAAGTGTTACTTTATCCTTTTCCAGAATCATTTCATACCACGCTGGTTTGCGTTTATATGAATGAATGTTTCATACTGCATGCAGTTGTCTTACATTTCTTCGCAGGCTTTTCCCTGTGTGTTTGTTTGTGCACATTATAAACTTCATGTCTGACTTTCCAAATCAAAGGCTGGAGAGTGAGTGAATGCATCGACCCCTCCTCCCCTCCCCTTCAGTTTATTTAACATCACAGAAAATCCATTTTTAGTCTCGCTCATGTCGCCCTATGTTGTTTTATTCAAACCAGCTTGAACTGAATCTGTCAGGCCTGTGCAAAATGTAAACAATGTCCCTGAAATCCAAATATCCGAATTGGCAGACCTGAATGAGAGGTTAGCATGCCTGTTGACGCAAATGGCAGAGTGATTAATCCCAGACTGTGAAGAGTCAGAGAAACAAGGCGGTATTGAACACACCGCAGCCACTGGTTAAACACACACACACACACACACACACACACACACACACACACACACACACACACACACACACACACACACACACACACACACACAGGTATAAATAATGAAGGCTGAACTCCTGAACTGCATGTTTTAAGTGCTGAGGTTGGTTGATGTTAGCCTTGGCACACCAAAAAGGAGTCTGGAGCTCGGCCATATGCTCCTGCACTGCACACTGTTTACTGGGCTTATGTGTTGGCAGGGTGGCCGGTCGAGAGAGAGAGAGAGAGAGAGAGAGAGAGAGAGAGAGAGAGACTGTCATGTAATTACAGGGTCACAAAGTTTGCTCCCCACAACAAGGAGTTGTGCTTTTTTGTACTTTCCTCAGTTGTTATGTTTATTTTTATCTTCTCTCCTGAAATTCTTGAAAATGAATATTGAACTGTTCATCTGTCATTTTCAAAATATATTTTAAGTTTGCATTGGATTTTCTCAGATATCCACATTTTTGTTTTCAGCCAGAAAAAGTTTCTGCAGTTTTCAGGGATGTTTTGTTTATAGCCAGAAAATACTGTTATTTAAACTCTTCTGGAGTCCAATTACATGGCTTATTATGTCGATTTCAAAGGAGAAGCAGACAATGAAAATGGAAACACTCAATATTATAATGGTTAAAGGAGCAATATTTAACTCTGACACCTGGTGTTTTAAATAGGTACTGCAAACTAGAGTCCATGCTCACTCAGGTCACCATGTGGTGGACTCTGAAGCTTCAGTGTTTATCCAGCTCTGCATGGGTCTGTAAACCTTTCTGTGTTCTAACCTCTCTCCATTTTTCAAAAGCATCTCCAATATTGATCCTAGTTTGAGCACGTTTCTGCTCGTGGAGCTTATTAGAAACATGCAGAGGCTTTTTAGGTCGGGTACAATCACTTCTATCTGAACCACTTCTCTTGCCCGCTTCCATCGCTGCAACACCTGTTGACCTGATAACTGCTCTCATATCTGGCAAACCGAGGGGCGTCCAAAACGGCCATGTGGGGGTGCCTTAAAACAGCCGACCTTCTCTGGTCCAAACAAATCCAGAGCGTTCAGGAGCAGAATCTAAACTTAGTTCAATAGATATCTTACAGCTATCAAGAGATAAAATACATCATTTAAAACTTGAAACACTGAAAAAGCTTCCAAATCCAGATCAGCAATCCCATTGATGTAATAAACCATAAAGTGAGTCAAAACTGAGCATTAAGAGAGGCCTGCAGCTCATCACTCTGCTCTGTACAGTTCAACAAGCTCCAGGTTTAATTAAAATAATATGTCAGAGATAACATGTAGCATCAGTGTAAAATGCCTGTCAGCGGGCTGCAGCTGCTTGTGTCGACCAACCTGAGATTTGTCCTCAATACACTCGCAGTTTATTTTTAATCATTTAATTCAGGCAGTAGATAACACTAGTCTGTCTGAGATATAACCCGCTATTAAAGATATTTATTTTCATTTTCAAAAAATGAGGTTAAATCTTTATTTCCCCGAGCAGCTTGATTGATATTAACTATCTCACCTTTAGAAGGGCAGCGCAGGAAGCAGCACTAGAGCAAACATTAGAGCTGCTGATAACAACATAACGGCCAAAAGAAAAGACCTCAGCTGACTCACAGGTGGTCTACAAACTTTAAAGCTTAGACATGTTATCTGCAGCTAGATGTGTTACCAAGTATTAGATACCTCCATTACTAATACTGCCAAAAAGGATGCAGTTTTGGTAGCTTGTTTTTTTAAAGATATGTTTTGGTCCATGTCTTGTCCTTATAGTTTGAACAGAAGAGAATGACAGGAACTGTTGGGAGCAGAGAGGGAGGAGTCGGATTCAAACCCAGGACAGCCATGAGGACTGTAGCGTCTGTACAGTGGGCGTACAATGTAAAGTTTAAAGTAACGGGAGTGGGAAACTTAAACGCCTCCCCAGTTCAGTTCAGACTTTTGAGACAGAAAGCAAGAAAAGGTCCTGAGATCTGTTAATAGATTTGAGTTCTGAAGAGGTCATGATGACTCTAAAGACTCTAAATCACACACATCTTCTTTTTATCACCGTCATTTAAACAACTGCTGTTCTGTGTACATCACTCCAGCAGCCACAATCTACACATCTGTCAGACCACCGACAAAAAAACAGATCTTTGTGATTCATGTTTTCATGGAGGGTCGACTGTTCTCTTCAGGTCATAATTATCCAACGAAAACGGTCCTGCTGCATCAGTAACGACCCAAATCCAGTGAAGATTGAATCCAAACACATTACATCCACAAAGATCCACAGATTGCTTCAAAATGTCCCCAGCTGTTCTCTGTTCTAATTCATGAACTCTGACCTTTTGATTGACCCCTCATATAACCAATGAGGACCTTCCATCCACTGGTCCTATGCTATTGAACCTGGGTTTATCCAATGTTCAGATTTCTCAGCTGGAAATGTATGCAAATCAGCACATATTTAATTAGATAATGCCTTATTTGCATATTTAAACATAACATTTAAAAAAACTTAAAAAATATGAAAAATATTTGCCTTGATATAAGTAATAAACTGGAGAAGTTTCATGTTGATATCTGTGAGTTATTTTTTTTACCCGATTCACCTGTCGTGTCTCGCCTTAAACCAATGAACGCCCAAGTAGAAACAGAATTTTCTTTCTCTCCCCTCCGTGGTCGCATTATTCACGATACAGATGTTGTCAGTGGAACAAAGGGTTAGCAACAGGGTCGGCGGTCTCGTCTCTTCGGAGAGTCAGGAGTGAATGAGGTCAGCTGACTTGAAGTTGTGAAGTTTAATGGGCCGATAATCATTTTTCAAATTAGCTCTGTTCATTACCATTTTAAGACTTAAAAAATATATATTTCCTGAAACACAGTTGTGGAGTAAGTCCTCAGACACTTAAATCCTGTGATTTTCTTTTGTTCTCTGTCTCACTCCATCAGGTACGACTTTGTGGAGATAGAGGATCCGACTGAGAAGACCATCGCGGGTCGCTGGTGCGGCTCACAGTCGGCGCCAGCCGGTCACACTTCCAAAGGCAGTCAGCTCCGCATCCGCTTCATCTCTGACGAGTACTTCCCCTCTGCGCCGGGATTCTGCATCCGCTACTCCCTCCTGCCTGTGGTGCGTACAAACAAACAAACAAAACAACGGGTCATGTGTTTTAAAAAAATGATGCATTGTGATGAGTTCAGCTGTCTTTGCGTTTTTCTCTCTCCCCCCGTCTCAAACTTCAGGGAGTTCACACAGCAGAGGGACATGCCTCTTCATGTGAGCACAATTAAAATCATTTGCTTGCATAACACAGTGTTTTCATTTGCAATCATCCATTTCAGTTTATGTGTACCCGAGGATTTAAGCATTGTCGGGGAGAAATTATGCTTAAGCGCTTTGGAACATCTGGCACCTGTACTGTCATTTACTTTAGGATGAGACACACACACACTTCTACAGCGCACACACACTTCTACAGCGCACACACACACTTCTACACGTCTGCAAAACGACAACAAAACCAGAGTTTTCCTTCCATGTTTCAGGAGGATTGTTTTTGGTAATAGACCCTGGAATAGGTCTATAATGCTAGAGAGCACACACCAACCAATATAACCTCACTAAGAATGGTTTGAAACTCTGTAATTTTCTCATTTTCTGGGGCTCGAACAGTTTCAGCGTTTAAATAATCAAGCCGTTGTGTTCTCGATTTGTTCCATATAAAACCGTATATACCCTCTGAACCTGCGCTGTAACTACACATCCAGGACGATGGATCTACCAAACGAGGTGCCTCACGGTCACTGATGGTGTTCCCTTGACACTGAGATGGAGAAAATAAGTGGCTTCAGGTTCACAAAGAGGTCCTCTGACCCTCGTGGGGGTGGTGGGGGATCATTCAAGCCCCTGAAATGAAAGCAGGAATTAAGAGATAGAAGTGCTTTCTGTGAGGAAAATTGTCAAGCTGCCGTCGGTCGGTTTCATTTTCTGTTTCAGGATCTGTCATCCCAAACGGCGATTCAAAAGTAATATGCCTTTTTATGTCTTCTCAGTACCCCACTTCACAAAGACACTTTGACTCTATACTTAAAGCTGACAGCAGACAACACAACCCTTTCTCTGCTCTATCCTGGTATACTTCCTGTTATTTATCTTTTCCTGTGACACAGACTTTAATCACCAGTTCTACCCCTCGTCCAAACGTCTGTTTACCTTTAAATGCTTGGCAGATTACTCTATATGACTGCTTCTCGAGCGACAAACATGACTCAGTGCAGCTCTGAGGTTAAGGTCATGAGTGTGATTTTTTTCTAATTGGGATGAACAATGTTTGCACTGAAAATCATGTGGAGGAGGTTGTTTTTGCAAACGTTTATTGCCACCTGGAGTCGTGTTTATAAGCAACAACCTCCACAGGTTGAAATGAGAATCTAATGAAAAATGAAATCTAGAGGTAACATAAACAGCGTTAAAGTCTTCAGAGGGGCCGTCAGAAATGATCGACGGGTAAAACAAATGCAGAACCTTCAACCAGGAGGTTGGATATCGATTGCTGAAGAAAACCAAACGGTAATATTGACGTTAACGTCATGTTTGTAAAGTCACCTTCATATGCTCTTATCTGACACAACATAAATAACGTCTTGTAACAAACCTCAGGTGCCTAATGTCATCTACGCTGCTCACATCACAGTGTTACATAACTAGAGTCCTTCTTAAAGGTCACATATTATGAATAATACACTTCACCATGTTTCTCAGTAGCCTCTCCCCCAGGTGGGTGACACTCCCACAGCTAGGTGTTTGTTCTGCCCTCTGAGTCTGCCTTCTCACTGTAAACAATAGGACATGGAGAGGGGGCGTGGTCAAACACAGCTCATGATCAGCGATGAGTTGAAGCATTTCTGCACCGGACAGATGCTCACATAACTTCTGTGAAAAAAAATCTCATAACAGACTTCTGTGTCTGGGTACTTTGAACCGTCTTTGTCTTGATCCATCCTCTTCCAGTATTCTCTTTCACTTCACTGAGACCACACACACACACACACACACACAAAGGCCCAGAGATAAAGTGACGAGATGACTGCCATGTTTGAACCTGTCATGTTTGACTTCTGTTCTCTTGCTTTAAGTAAACAGCTCAGCCGGTCTTCACTCTGACGAGCACACACGAGCCCCAGAGGTCGCTGATGGAATTTTTTCATTCTCTCTGTAACGTTTTCTTTGTTGTATTTCAAATGTCTTTGCTACTTTAACACCGAGTCAATCGTTTCCTGTTAGAGTGTCGTAACAGCGTAAAACAGAGTGACCCGATGTTTTAACCTCCAATGCCCCCGTTTCTGTTTTCCTCTCTGTCACTTGCAAAGGCATGGACGAGTGACGAGGAGGGGGGCTCTACAGGGCGCTGTAGCTGACTGTTCTCACTCAGCAGAGCTCGTTAGCTTGTTGTACAAAGTGGAAATAACGATTCATTAATATTATCTACACCTGTGATTGAAATGATGAGCTTTGACTTGTGTCAACACCGGAAAAAATGTATTCAGCTCACCGCAATCCGTTTATTGACGAGTCTTTGAGTGTTGGGAATTGAGTCAATTAAGTGCACATTTTTTATTTTATTTAACCAGGAAAGAAAATGTAGTACCGGCGTCCTGTAGACTGTTCACCACAGACTTAAAAAGGTCAGCATATCGATACGTTCTCCCATCAAAACTTCCAAATATATATTATGGCCGCCACCATGTTTGTTTTGCTGATGCGTCACTTGGCTGAGGCCGCGCCTGCGCAGGAAGTCTGCAGCTGTCAGAAAACCGGGGTGAAGTTTATACATGTCACAGGATCCTGTTTTCTTTCAGAGTTCTCCAGGTAGCAAAATCAGGTTTCGTAAATCAGGATATGTTTACATGCACGATTACAAAAATGAGATACTTGAAAAGCTCGATCAAAACTCAAGTTCATGTTACAACACACAAGGGGAAACTAAAATTCACAGAGCAAGTCATTTTTAACAGATGCAGTGTGGACAGTGCACGTCGAGTCGTGCTCGATGAGACATGACATCTAACCCTCAGTCCTCGTAAACTTTATTCTCACATTTTTCCTCAACTTTAAAACATACTTTTTGTTAGCAGAGCATCCCAGTGTGCACGCTGAGCATCAAAGCTGTGTTTCTACTTTCAGAAATGAAAGTGGAAAGTCAGTCATGATGTGTTCTAGCCCCCGGTGGTAACACTTATGTATTTTGTTGAGTTATTGAGGTGATTGAAAAAGTCAATCTCAAGACATTCAGTGAATTGTGAGTGTGAGGCCTTGCTCTATCTAATGGAGAAGGATTAATCCAATAAGACACAATTACAAGAAGTGAATCGATCCCAGGATGCCTTAAGGGGAGGGAAGCGTTTCCTAAACATCCATTTTTCTACGTAAACTTACCGTTGATTTTTATTCCTGCAGCCGTCTGTGTGAGATAAGAGTCTGCACATTTATCATAGAAATGATTAGATTGTTCATAATAAACAAAGCATGACAAATAAAGGAGATTAAAGGTTAGATGTGTGTGTGACTAAAATCTCATCGTCAATCAGAAATAAAAACAGGTGTCAGCAAAGATCAGGATAAAGATACTAAAAAAGGATGATTTACATAAAAGCCTTTTTTTATAAAAGTGTTTTTTTATGAGTCTAAAACTTTCAAAAATGTTGGTGTTTTATATTTCATGAAAGTTGAAAGTTTTAAAAACAAAATCTGTGGCTGTGTTGGAATTGAAAAGTCACATTGAATTATGTTGCAGTTAAATAAACTGTTCTGCAGCTGAGACGTCTGCCGCAGACTTTGTGATGGAACATGAAGCCAAGTTTATCTTTCATAAAGTCATTCTGGAAAGTGTGGAAACCATGAAGGGGGCTGGGGGAGTTTGGGAAGGAAGCTATGGCCTCCGCACGTTCACTCGGTCTTCCCTTTGAACTTTCCTCTGACAGAGGAGCAGCACGCTGGAACAGCAGCGCTCTGTTTCCTCTGTGGTCGACCAGCAGCCCGGTGGAACCTCGTGCCATGCAGGGGCCGGCACTTTAGTTTATATTTAAACAAGCAATGATTCCTCCACACCACTTCCACGCAAAGGAAAAGGAGGGGAGGGGAGGGGGAGGAGGGGGAGAAAATAAGAGCGGGTCTGTAATTCACAGGAAGAGATTTGAGGATGAGTGGAAGGGCCGAGGCGAAGAGGTTGTTAAAACATAGAAGAGAAGGAGTCTGTTGAAGGGAGTGGGGGAGAGTCGAGGGGTTCAGAAGAGCAAACAAAACATACATCATTGTCTCTGTTAGGGAGCTATTCCTAATTAAACCCCTCAGCTCGTTAGATATGAACACCGCTCCTCCATCTTTGTTTATTTTGTACCGATTAAATAAAGTGCGACTCCCTCAGAAAATGAAAAAAAGAAGGGGATACGAGAGCGGGAGTAAGGAATGAAATGCTCGTTAAAGCAGATGGTTAGACCGTGCAGGAGGTTTTTACTGCTGGCATGATGAAACTGAGGTCTGTTTTTACACCGACCTAAATTGCAGTGTGTGGCGTGTAGTGAGAGAAACAAACACTATACATTCACGCACAGAAGTCCTCGTTGTGTACTGAGGAGCTCGCGTGCAAAGGAAGTGGTTTTGCAGCTCCACGTTGAAGCAAAGATATTGTGTTTTTTTTTTTTTTTTCTCGGAGCTCTCCCAGGATATGCTATTTCAGAATTCTCATCCCAACACAGTTAGCTGAACCTGTCATTTCACTTACCAGAAATAAGAGCGTGCTGTGGTTTGCGCTGTGGAAGAACAAAGAGCTGGAAACGAGGTAATCACAGCTTGAAAAACGAGGTTTCTCTAAAAGGGCATGAGGCGTCAGAGAGAGAGAGAGCGATAAGAGGGACGTCACAAGCTCGCACTTTGATTCAGATCATCAAGAAGAACCAAAATGGTTTGAATCTTATAATTTTCCAAACATGCAATCATATCAGAAGATTTGTACACTGCATCCCTGTGTTAAACTCCCCCCCTGCTGCCTGTGTATATATGCATCTGATTATATCATTATGTTCACAATTGCATCTCTTTTGTAACCCTGGTTCAACCACTTAGTCTCTATTTTCTACACCGAGCATTCCTCGGCCTGCTGACTCGGCATTTTTTTTAATTAAAGACTGACAAAATTGAAGCTGACAGAGAACTCTGTTCATCAAGGCAGCTCAAAAGCAATAACTCTGGTTGACTTCAATACTTTAAAGTTGAATTCTGAAATGCACTTTGGTCTAAAGGTTGAATAGTAAACATTGCATCAGGTCATGTCGGGATAATTTGAGCCTGTTAGGTGCAGACATATGCAGGAAAATTTAAAATTTTGACTGAGATAGATTTCCTCATGTTCTGTTTGATACTTTTTTAATACTCAATGGACTTGAGCTTGTAGATTTCTTTTCTAGTCTTCTGACTTCTCAAAGCGCTTTGACACCGCAGGTCACACCTACACATTCACACCCTGATGGTACAGGCCATTCATACACATTTATGCACTGCTGACAAAGCAGCAGGAGCAACTTGGGGTTAAGTGTCTTGCCCAACGTCACATGGGCTGCATGAGCTGGGGATCGAACCCCCTGACCTTCAGGTTGAGAGATAACCAACTCTACCTCTGATCCACAGCCGCTCCAGCCATTGCCTTTATTAGTAGATAGAATCCCAGTCCACCTCTCTTGTGAATACCAGCTTTTAGGAGACAATCAAATTACTGCAGATGTTTTGTATTCCTCAAGTGTCCTGATGTCAAATATATCAATGCAAAGAAAATACCTGCAACTGGTCCTGGACTGACCTGGTGCCCTACAGCTGTTTTGAAACTTGTGCCTGAATCCAAACAGTGCAAAGTATGATGCCCACACATATATACTCATGCACTGCTGCATTTGTTTATTTCTGCAATTTAGTTGCCTAACAATGATCTGACAGTGCAGCTTTTAAGACACTGTGCTGAGCTGTTTTTTTTTTTCGAGTTTACTTCAAAACAGCAGAGAAAAGGAGCACACTCAAACAGTAATAAATCTTCAGGTGCACAACCACAAAAAGACTACAAGAAAACAGAAAAGTCAGCACACTCAAGGTCCTTTTAAAGCTCATATTATCTGAGTGGAGCAGCAGCGTACGGATCAACAGCGCAAAGCCTTCATCAGCGTTCTGAAGCTGATCAGGTTGATGTGCTGACTTCGCTGTTTTCTTGACTTTACTTCAAACAGTGTGACTCAAACTGAGCATGATGTTGGCATTGGTGCTGTTAAAGGTTAAGTGAACAACAGTGTTTTTTTACTCAAATCACTGAATCACTGCAGAATGAAAAACAATATATAACCTCCTAAGTGCTAAGAGTTACTCCTTGTGACAAAACTCTAAGACAATTCTTAGAATCAAGACATTTTATAAGAATTTTATTTTAAAGTCAGGACAAGATTCACAAAACTGTTTAGCCCTTAAGAGAGCTCCTCAGGTGTAAAACCGTGAGGAGGACTTTCAACAGGAAACAAGAGTTTCTCAAGCTGAGGAGAAAACAGAGAAAAAGTTCTGCAAACACAACATGAAGAATATTATTGACTCATAGTAGGGCGGGACAGACACAAATTATTTGTGCAGACAATTCAATCCATCTGTGACTTTTTTCTGTGCAAAGTGAGACATGCACGTTGAGTTTCTTTACAGGTGCATCCAATCACTAATTAAATCTCTTTATATAACTATCAGCATGTGCAGAAGCTGCTGCGTCTGCATTAATCACTCCAAGGCTAAAAATCCTTCTTAGGATTTTTGAAGCAAAGTTAGGCGCTCTCTGAGAATTGTGAATACGGGCCGTGGAGTTTAAACTTCATTCAGAGGCCGGTAAGCATCTCGTTACAAACTACCATAAGTACAATGTTCTCCCTGGTGCAAAGCTAAGTTAACTTCTTTGAAAACAAGGCATCTGTGTGATACTTGACATACTGTACACGGCCAACATGCCGGTTAGAGGTTGGTGGTCTATTTACGTTCTTTTGTTCTTGAAATTCTTAAATGGGAGCTCTCATCTGCTACTTAAAGCTCTATTCACACCATCCCGACGTGTCTCTGACAGATTGCTCGGCGTTCTCTATCTGAAGCTGAGCTCCACAGAGCGCCGGTAATTGGGGGAGTGTTGCACCATCGACATTCACAAGCTGTTAATGGCTTCCAGTCTGCGCTGTTAGCTACTGCCAGAGCTTCGAATAATAGGACTCTCAGCTGTCTGGAAATTCAGTTCAGGGAAGGGACTGCTCAGTTTCCTCTTATTTTTTTACTCCTACGACGTTATAACAGCAGCCATTTCTCCACAAATATTCCCATCCAGTTTGCGTCTATTTATCCCAGTGGGTGCCAAATAAACCAAAGATATGATAAGTGGTTATGAAGGCGGCCTCATTAGAATGAGTCAAATCTGTGGCACGAGCACAGCTGCTCATCAGCTGGGTTTTTTAAGCCTGTGGTGCAGCCATGTAAACCACTGGCATCTTACTTTAAAAACCTATACCAACAGGCCTGTAGATGCTGGAATAACACAGAATCAAATCTTCTATTTGTTTTCTGCACCTAATATTCAGTATGCAAATGCTCGTTTGATTTAAACCACTTAATGGCTTTTCAGTGCCGTGAAAACTGCCGTGAGTTTTTTAGTATGAGTTGTAAATAACAAGCAGATCCTAAATCCTCCTGTGGAAAGTTCTCCGGCCTCTGACTAAAGGGAACGTTTATTCTTCCAGAAGCCCCCCATTCCTCACTGGCTTTCTCTCTAAATCACCCCGATAAGTCATCAAAGAGAAGATACTGGTTCCTGGAAACCATCTCTTTTTTTTTTTTTTCTGCTTCTGCAAAAAGCTTAAAGACCCAGCTGCCAGCAACCGATGTTTTCAATGCTCCACAAGCTGCATTCTTTTTTGTAACTGTCACAACGTTGCCTTCTACCTGTCAGTCACGTAAGATTAGAGGGACCAGCGAGCTGACATGTTGGACAAACGCGGCGTCACAGGACTGAAAGGTTTAACAGATTAGCCTCTTCTCTCGTTGGGACGGCCGACACCCCGGGTATCAATCTTTAGTCTGAGACTGCACGCTGCAGCCTGCAGGCCCGGGGAAAGTGGGAACAAAAAATACATTGCCGCCTGCACGAGTTAAAGGGACAAGCACTGTGATGCAAAGTGGGAGATCACAGCGTTGAAATAAAGTGCTGTCATTCACATTTACCTCTGAGCTGCTGTGCATTCAACACATTCATATAGTGTCATTTTGAAACTTGTATTCAAGTTACAGTTCAACTCACTTTTTCAGCTGGTTTTAGGGTTTTAAATCAAAGACTTCTCTTCCTCACATCACAAACCCTGACACATAGATGCTTTCATTGGGCCTCTGTTGGCTTGGATAGTCCTGGATTCTGATTCACACAACTTAAATCCAAACCACTGTGGCATTTAATGAACATGAACCCAATTTTTAGCCATGACATCAAATGTGCCATGGAGTAAAAATCCCCTTCTTTTTATAGCTTAAGATTTATTTTAACTTTGTAGAATTAAAACACATGTCCTCACTGCTGACAAAGTCGTAACTAACCCTACATCAAACTCTTAAATCAGAGAACGGGTCTGACCTTAAAACATCGTGGGGCAGATGAGGTTTTGAGCTGGTTTTGGGTGTGGGGGCGACAGAAAGCAGGACCCTAACATCTAATACCTTATCCTGTTTCAACTGAAAACTGTGACTAAATGACCTCTCTTTTATCCTGTCTGCTTTGTTCTCCTGCAGAGCGAATCAGAACCCGAGGTCCCCGCGGCTCTCCCTTCATCCCAGCAGGGTATCGAGGAGCTGTCAGACGCTGTTGCAGGACTTGGCTCCGTGGAGGAGGTCATGAAGTACCTGGAGCCGGAGCGATGGCAGGTGGACATGGACGAGTTGTACAAACCTACATGGCATGTGCTGGGGAAGTCCTTCGTCCTCAATAAGAAAGCCAAAGGTAGGACATTGGGTTCGGGTTAGGGTAGGACATTTTCACAAATCCAGTAGTTTGAGGAGTCATGCATGATAACATTTAATCTGTAAGAATAAATTGGATGATTTGTGCCTTTGAAGTATTGGAGTAACTTTTGACAGGTCGTGATTCTGATCATGATCCTCTCTGTCTCTTTTGAGGAGGAGCCGATCTCAATCTGTTGCGGGAGGAAGTTCGGATGTACAGCTGCACTCCCCGTAATTTTTCTGCACCCTTGCGTGAAGAGCTGAAGAGGACAGATGCCATTTTCTGGCCGAGCTGCCTCCTGGTGAAGCGCTGTGGTGGGAACTGTGCCTGCTGCTCTCACCACTGCTACGACTGCCAGTGTGTTCCCACCAGGATCACAAAGAAATACCACGAGGTAAAAAACATCCTGCTAGTTAAGAGTCAGACATATAGGGAGGTTAGATTATAACATCAGTGATTGTGAACTGTACTACATTATTTCCAACTAATAATAACAAACTAAAAGACCTTTTTTTTTAATTTATTTGGCATGAAAATGAAATTGGGCCTCACATTAAAATCTATTTATTTTGAGAACCCAGTGTTTGGTAAATGTTTCACAAATTGAACAAATTAGCTGCTACAGCGTATCTGGAACAACAAGGAATGTGTTAATTTACCTGTCGCCTAGTCTTTCCTCTGAGAAAACAGAGAAAATATCACACTGTAGTAATACATAATTACAAATAGGGGGGCGCAGGAAAGCCCATAGTGCTTATTTTGCGCGCCCCATGTACAGAGTCCTTCAAAGGACATAGGATCTGAACGGGTTGACTGCCGGATCTTAAAGTGGACATATTATGAAAAATCCTTTTCTACAGTGTTTTTGAACATATATTTGGGTAACCTGAGTGGGAAATACATCCATCCAGTCCTTTGTTTGTGGTCTGCATAAGTCTTACAACACAAAGAAAAATGCTCTGTTTCAAATGTGCTCTCCTTGTGATGTCACAGTGGGATTCTGGTAAAAAGAAAATCCCCTCACCTTCCCTGGTTTCTCCACCCATGGAGAAACCAGGGAACAAAACTTTTGCACAGGTCCGCCATTTTTATTCTCGCTAGCGAAGGAGGGATGTCTATCAGGAAATCTTGGGGGGGTGGTCTCATTGAATTTAAAGAGACACACGCACCAAAACGGAGCGTTCTGAGAGCGCTGGTTTATACAGGGTCACAAACCTCCTCTGGTGCTTGATTCATGTTATTTTTTGACCAAAGCACAGCACAGATGTTTCATTTAAACCACAGGGGGACTGTTTGAAAAGGAGGAGAAGGGGGGATAATATGTCCTGTTTAAGTAGCCTTTACCTGAAAGACGGGCCAGGTCCGCTCAGGTGCATCGGAAACCCCGCCCTACAGCGACCTGAAGGCAAACACACAGACAGAAGGGACAAAGCACCACAGCAGGCCCTGCTGGCGGGAGGGTCGCCACATGTCAGTAGCAAACTCTGCATGAAATTAGGTAGAATGCTATTATTACATGTTTCAAGCTAACCCCCTTGTTTGTGATGGGTCAGTATGATTCATGTCCTTTTGCATGTTTCACTTGGACTATGTGCGTCTACCTGTGAACTACAGCTTCCTGCTTTTTTTGACAGGTGCTACTGCTCAAACACAGAAGCGGCAGCAGAGGCCTGCAGAAGTCGTTGACCGACGTGCCCTTGGAGCACCACGAGGAGTGCGCCTGCGTGTGTAAAGACGACTCGGACTGACCTCGAACATGTGTGATAGCTGCCACTGGAGCAACACAGGACGTTAAGAAAATGAACCTCCGCCGCCGCTGTTGCAGAGCTCTGCGTCTCATCTGTTTTTCCACCGGGAGTTAACAAGATTCTCCCTTTTATCCTGTTGTCCTTTTGCTAAGTGGATTAAGCAGAGCAGACTGGAATCTAATAAATCTCCTGAATGGATTTGACTGCTGATGTGGAATACCAATCGTGTTTTCTGTGGGTGAATTTAAAAGTGAAGCAGCTCTGGACTGTTACCTGTGAGGTCAGGAGAAGACTATATTCTCCAGCTGCTCTGAGATAAGAACACTGGGGCGGCTTTTTCTTCTTCTTGAGGTCTTTTATTTTTTTAAAGTTCAGCTGGCGTGGGCTGATACTGTCATGGAAAATGGGAGCTTCTTTGTTCAAGTACTTTTTTTATGTCTATAAATGAGCTGGCTGCAGCTTGCCTTACTCCCCCAGCCCCTCTATTATTACCATCAAGGCGCAAAAAAGGTGCTTATCCACGAGCCGTATTCCTTTGCTCCCCTCATTGTTGTCGCCACAGATTTAATCTGAAGCACAGTCTTAGCCTCACTGAAAAGCCTTTCTAATAAGATTGTTCTATGTGTAAATATGTCTTTTACATCGCTTTTCTATACTGTCGTGCCTTTTCTACCAAAGACTCTCTCTCGAGGAGGAGATCAGGGTTGCACACAGAATCAGTTTCTTTCAACCCATCTTTGCATCATCACTTCAGCCTTCTTTAAGAATGCCTAGCGTTAAGCACGTCTTACTGCGTTTGAGATTGTTTGTGTTAAATATTTATTTGCTAAAAGAAAGGGAAAGTTAGGTCCGAACGTCTTCTTTGCTCCATGTGTCACTGTACAGTAGTTTTAGAGTTTTTCATTGTTAGTCATTTTTACATCGTCATGGATAATGGATGTGTTTTTTTTCATTTTCTGTATGCCAAAGTTATTTATCTTTACTTTTTGCAATAATTGTTTGTGTATTTCTTTTTTTTTTTCTGAAAGTCAAAAATAAATTCTTCCATTTCTTACTGCAGGTGAATTACTCTGAGTAGGTAAACAGTGAACGAACTCAACCCACATAGTAGAGAGGGTGGTCTAAAAAAACAAAAAACAGTGCTTTTTCCAAAGTGAACTTCTGGCCGTGCAGAACTAAACCGTCGACTGCTACATGCTCATGTCGGGAGAATACATCTCACATGGACGTAAAAGGAAAAAATCACAAGCTTTACATTCAAATGCAAGTGGGAAGGATATAAAGGTCGTTTGCATGTGATAGTTTATTGTCATTTATAAATCAGATTTTTCTTTGAAGACAAAAAAAACTTTTTGACTGAAAGATTTTAATTTGAACCAAAAATGTAAATAAGATATTAAAAAACAAAAAGTAACAGTGTCCAAAAAGGAGTAGGCAGAAGTAAAACATATAAATCCCTACCCTTACCTCACATTTTGTCTATTAATTCATATATTATTCCATTCATAGCAGCATAGATAGCATCCATCTAACCTAATTATTATCTTATGTGCACAGTTTGGGCAGAACATTTTATTGTGGCCGTTAGCGTGGTGTCATCTGCAAAGAAACATTTTTAAAGACACAAATTATTCCAAAAGGAGCAAGCAATCTGCCCAACTGTAACTCATGAAGGACTCTGTAGTGTTAAATTCATCTTAAATCCTCTCCTTAAAGCTCCTCTGAGGAGCTTTTGTATTCTGTCGATGATTTTAACACCCCCTGTGGACAAAGTCGTGCGCCTTATCTCGTCTCTCTCTCTCTCTCTCTCTCTCTCTCTCTCTCTCTCTCTCTCTCTATTGAGTCTGTAAGATGAACATGTGAGACGAAGAGAAACAGGAGACGCCGTTGGAACTATGTACTTGGGATTTTATACTTGAGTTTTGTTTTTTCCACATGTAAAATTACAAGCAGAGCTTAAAAGCCCAAACACTTATCACTTCTCCCTGAAGCCTCGTCCGTTTTTCAGCCTTCCTGTGAACTCCTTATCAGACACGGAGCTGCACTGCTGTTCCCTCTCCCTGTTGGCCATCAGGTCACTCAGGAGGAGGTTCTCATTTGTCCGTCTCACGCTGCTGTCCTAGCCAATTATTCTGATCTAATGTGCATCCTGGCAGGCATATGTGGTGACGCCAGATGCTCCTGCAAAAAACCCGCCAGCTCCCGGTGTGGGTTTTTATAATATTAAACAGACTGCCTCTCTCGGTCGGTGCAGAGGAAAACCTCACTACTCTGGCACAAGATGTGACACAGCATGGGCAGTTGGTCTAAGTGTTTGTGTTTGAGTGGGTGTGTGTGGACTTGTGCGACTACAATCCAGCACTTGACGCTTCCACCCTTTACCCACATGCCCCACTTGCTCATTGCTCCTTCACTGTGAAACCAAAGCTTCAGTCAGAGTAGACCACAGCATCATGGGGCAATTTATGTGGCCTTACTTAATGCAATAAACTTATTTTGTCTCCAAGGAGAAACAGACTCTCACACCGAACCCAACTCAGAAGATTTGCTTTGATTGGCATGAATGGGAACAGCTTCTGATCAGACAAAGAAGAGAGTACAGCGAACACTGGAGTGCCTTTCCCAAGGTAGTGCAGACACTACATCAGTGGTTGCTAGGCACCGCAAGTGTTACCAAATAAGCACAGGCCCCTAAGACACTTGCTCTGACCGAGAGCTGAGGCATAATGACAGCCTCTCTCTGCCTCCTCCTTAAATGAATCATTTCTAGAGAAGTCACAGCGGACTCAGCTGAGACCTCTCCTCCTACAAAGACTCACATAATAAAATCACTGCACGAACCTCTTCTGAATTACAGGTTTGACCCTTTCTCTGCATAACCGAATAACTAAATAAAAGGAGCCTCCTACACTTAAAAACACATCATACTAAATGGTGCATGTGCTTTCACAGATGTTGGATTTGTCCCTGAATTTCTCTGTCAATGAAAAGTGTGGAGGCTGTTTTAACATCGTTCTTTGACAGTCATCGTAGTCCATTTAGATTTATGAGATTTTATGATGCAAGTGCAACAACATGCACAAAGCAGGAGGTCCTGGCCAAACGCACTGTGTGGGTGCTGTAGGTTCATATGGACAGAAGTGAAAAGGTTGGGGGCCAATCAGTATCAAATGATTGTGAGGTGATTAAAAGTTACTCTTTGCATGAAGCTTCACTTGTCAAATATACCTCTGAAACCAAGAGGGAAGCATGATAGATCTAAATCTTGAAAGACACTTCTTAATAAGGAAACTTTATTACTGTTTGGAAGGTGCCACAATGGCTTGATGTAAAAAACACTGCACCAAAAACATGCATTATATGTACAACTAATAACTGCAAGTCTATCAAGACCACAGCACTCTGGTGCAGCACATTTCAAGTCAGAGTATGAAGCTATCAAAATGTGAAAATCGATCAGGTCTGCAGCAGATTGGCATGTTAGACATTGTAACCCATGTGCAGCAAACCAAAATGATTTATTGTTTATTTGGTATCAAGAAAAAGTTCCAACACAAAAAAAAAATGATCACAAGAAGACACGAGGAAACACTAAGAAGAAAGTAACACATGGAGGATGACGTGATGAACTGACACAGTAAATATACTGTTGAACGCATTATGCAGTATGTACTCCATACTATGTTCGACAGTAGTATGTTATATGACTGCCAGTCGTTGTTTGTTTTTTTGCAGTATTCAAGGTCTGGGTAATGCAGACGTAAACAACAGTCCAGCTGACGTCAAATATCGCTACAGTGAAACATCCAGACAAGACATGGGGATAGAAAAATGCACGCAGAGGGAAATTCAGAAAGACGAGAAAGGAAAAGATAAAAACTTTCCGTTCGTCGTTACACTGCTACAAAAATAGGAACAAGAAAATGTAGCTAAACAAGGATACATCTCACATTGAACCTGAGCCAGAGTTTTAATTTCTATTTTGGTACAAAACAAACAGTCCACTTGTCGTTGCACTGCTACAGAAATAGGGCCCTAAACGGGAAAGGTTGTTCTGTCCCCTCACACTGATCCCCTGTGATACTTGAAATGCTTTTAGTCGGGTTATTCTAAGAAATGGTTGGATGTTTTTGGAATAAGCTAGTATTCTTTTGGCTTAGCAAAACGTCTGGAAACTGGGATACAACTAGCCTTTCTCTGCAAAACAAGGCCTACTGATCGCAACAGCTCAACAAGTCTTCAAGTTTGAATGGTTACCTTGAAGCCTAAATATGACCAAGTAGTGGTAAAAACCAGTAGTTCCTTTTTTTATGCGTCTCTTTTTGTGTTTATGACAAAACATATGTTGATAAGTCGAAGGCCAGGTTAGCGGTCTTCCTCTGTTTCATTTCTCAAAGCTCAGCTGAGCTAACTGGCTGGTGGCTGTAGCTACACTCAGAATCAGTGGTGATTATGGAGTCTATTGGGGCCCTAGACAAACATTTACAGGGGGCCCCTCATACCAGCGTTTGTCCCCATTATATTATAAATAATCTGACACCAACACTTTTTTTTAGGGAAGGTTATGTTATAAAAGTGTCTCCACCCCATATATTTTCAGGGCTATAGACAAGCATCATTCAGTCATATATGAATGAGTGCTATCCGATGGGGCCATTTAGGGGGCTTTCTACTGTCATTGCAAACTTTGCAAATTTAGTTTATCAGCCCTTGGGGGGCGCAGTTACCTGCGTTGCCTGTTGACAAGCAGCGCCCCTGCTCAGCATATGGACGGTTGAGTGGAATTGATCTAAAACACATTACCTATAAGCCAACCAGAAGAGTTTTTACATAATGTTCAGTTTAAGTTAAAGCCCTCCCAGCAGTCCGTCTGCATTCTGTCTTTAATTCATGTTGTCTGAGTCTTCACTGGTTTTTGACAGGGAACTGGTAAAAGGACCTAAGGATGGTATCCTCCTTTAAATTCAAGCTTGTGTGTGTGCTCACTTGACTCCACTTCTGCTTGTTTTGCAGAATATAAAAATATAAACTCCATCTGCCACACGTCGCTCTTCCCAGGGGCTTAAACCCCCACTGGCCCTGTTTCAAATCTCAACCAGCAGCACTTTAGCTGAGGCAGAAGTGGTGTTTTATTCTCCACCAATCTCCGCCATTTCACGTCACTGCAAGCTATTCCTAGACAATACTTTTGACAAGTGTATATGCTCTATCTGGCAAACATTAATCCCTGTCGACCTTCTCAGAAAACAAATGTTTTATTTCCAACACACCCAACAATCAAGGTGTGTTTTGACATTTCTATGTATTATCTGTCCTCCTAGTGGTTTCCCCTTTAAGTGGCTTTCAAGTGCTGTTAGCAGACCCTCGGTAAAAGCTAGGGTTGCATCTCGCTGGAAGCACATATTCAGCAGTGTCTGTATTTAGAATGCTAATGATGCCAGCGAGTCATTTAAGGAACCATAAAGCACAGATAGAGACACTTTCTTGTCCCAGAATGTGACAGGAAAATGAAGAACTGCTTTTTTAAAATGTCAAAGTATCCCTGAAAAGATACTCGAAATAACATATTCAGTATGAAAGTTCATCATCGTGCTGCAGGAAAATGAAAGCATATGGGATCCAGTGAAAGAAAGTGTTCTTCCATTGTCCTATTTTCTATAAAGTTATTGTGTACACAAGCTGAAAACTTGTAAGATTCACTGCAGCCTTACCAGAGCTCTCACGTTTGCAACCATCCATCACCTTTTACTGGCAACTGACTGTAAATTTTCGACATGCAGCCTGGGAATCGATCTCAACTTGTGGTCATTTATAACCATGCTGGCTCTTTGAGCACCGACCGATGGGGGGAAAATATGGTAGCCCTGTCCAGATGACATCTGCAGCATCCTTAATTGGTTCCCCTGTATAAACGGATGGAAAGGCCAAATTGACGGGTGCATGTTATGTTTTGATAATTATAGGGTGCTGCAGTAGCGGTTTCGGGAGAACGGGCTGTTGTTGCTGGGAATGTAAGGTCTTCGACTCTGGTGTAGTATTAATCATGGAACAGGAAATCA